TGATTGGTTTATACTATTCTGGGACACTGCTGAAAGCAAACTGACAAGTCCATTCTTATCAAGAAAAACAAAATACCCACCATTGTAGTGTCAGTAGTGTCAATGTAGGCCAAGAATTCTATCTCCCCATTCCACTAGAGCAATTCTTTAATTATTATTAGTAAACACCCTTTAAAAATGCTGTAGGATATAAGCAAAATCATCATCTATAGAGAAGTAATAGATACTGTATTTACTTCTATTACGTGCATATTTGAAATACAGTGTATAGCATATTTCCATGTGAAAATGCTGAGATTGGATTTTGTTTGGATCCGTAAATAGGCATTCTCAAATTAAAAAGATTTTCATGTCCTGTAACTCAAACAAAATTATGTTGGCAAACTGTTAGCATGGAAACCATCCAGGATATCCAACATTTTAAAGGGGAAACACATTAGAAAAAGTGTGAGATAGGAAAGTTTTGTAATAGACACTCGCCTGTCTAAAGAAAGGAAAATCAGTCTGAACAATCTGTAGTAATATCAGTTTTCTTAAACCTGATGTTCTGTCTTTGAAAGCCAGCAGCTGCATAGTTTCTGTAATATGGTTCCTGGACAAGTCTTGCTGTGAACACAGATCAGCCTGAAACGGGAAGAATTAAATTTATATTATTATTTTATTTTGTCTGCTACATTTCCTCTGCATAGGCATGCAAAAATAGTTTGTTTGCAGGTTCAGTAACGTTGTCTCAACATCTCAATGTTTCTCTTTTTTATCTTTTGAATGCTCTGATACGCTTGAGTGCTCAAATCCTTGTGTCATTCTGGATCTTGTAAATGTCATGTGGGTTCAACTTTTCATCGCCTTTCACTACATTGAATAAAGTCCACATTTCTGTGGTCGGCAGTGGTCAGGAGAGGACTGATATTTCAGCAGACCTGCTACAAGTCTTCAATAAATGCTTTTAATATTTGTAAAGATTACACACTAGAAGTAAATTTGTAATTACCAGTTATTGAAGAATTGGTGAATGGTTAGTAGACACTTCCTTGTATGGTGTGAACAGTTGTTTGGTATGTAAAGAGTTTCATGGTTTTAGCTGGTGGTTGGGTTTCGGAATAGCAGGTCTTATTTGAAACCATAAAGGTTTCGTTACGATAAAGATTCCTTCTCTGAACTTCTTTGTTGAGTTTTAATTATCTCAGGCCAAATGAGCCATCTTATTACTTAGGTAGGGTTTTTGTCACACTCCCTGTTCCTACTGTATTTGTGTTCCTATTCACAGTATGAGTATTTAGTCATTACTCAGAATGCTGTTAAATTGCCTTAAGGTTTGGATTAAAATATACTTTTCTCTTTTCATTATGTATCTGTACTTTGTTTGAAAAGAAAAAATAATTAACTTAATTTTAAAAACTGGTGGTCTTCAGTTTTTGTCTTCAGAAAATGCCCTTAATACAATGTGGCACAATGTGCTTTTTGTGGTACTGTGAACATTTTTAAAGACTTATTGTACTTCCTTTTTGTCATAATTATATAACATTTTTTACTTCAGAAATATTGTCCATATACTGTAAAAAGAAGGCTACAACATTTAGTGTATGCTCACTTTTTTTTTATTAAAACGTGTTTGAAGATAATTGTAACACAAAATACAATATATCTCTTTTCTCACCAAACCCCCCACCATGACAGAGTTTTAAAGTTTTGTTTTCTTTTTTTATATTTTGACTTTACGCCACTACCAGTTTTTATTGGGTAATAGGGGAAATGAGATCCATTAGACTTTGGCTGTCTGAACATGTACTTACAACAATTAGATGTACTTTCCCTCAGCTCAGTGCCAAGTCTTGTATTTCACAATCACGTTTTCAAAAATATATATACTGTATATATGTAATTAAATACCATTTTTTATTTATTGACACACTTTATGCACTGTTTCTAATACATTAAAATTATAAAACATTATAACGTATATCTAAATAAAATATACTAGAAAGTATTGCAAAGAAGTATATTTATGTCTGCTGTTTATACAGTGCAAACAAATCAAGACAGTTAATTGAGTTGGCAGTAAAACTTATCTAATGTGTGTGTGGGAGTCAGTGCTGGGGCCCCCCACAAGCCTAATATCTGTCTTGTTGAACTGTATTAATAACTCGCTCTTAAAATTGAGTTTTTTATTACAGTAACACATAATACAAAATTGCGCTTTTTCTAGTCTTATTAGTCATTAGTACACGGATGCTCTAGTTACTGCACTCAAGATTTGATTAATATGTATAAAAATGTACAAAATGATTAATATGGATAAAATGGCTTTGAAAGGTGGCACCATGAGAAATAAAACTTCCAAGTTCAAATCTGTGTCACTTAATTCCATTTGCTGACTGAAACGTTTGTGCGAACAGGTTTTTATTCATTTAAGCACAGAACCCCTTCGAAAGAGAGAACAGAGACAGAGGCGACCCCCCCCCCGCCCTCGCCATCGGCTCTACAGCTGTGAGTGTGAAATAGAAGATCCATGTGAACAGGCACTTCCAGCTCCTGGTACTACTCCTCTCTCGGTTTCATGGGCCTGAGCAGCAGAATCCAGTGATATCAGGAAGGCAGCACAGCGCCAGTGTGTTTTTCCCTGTGGTTGGACCATTCTGCCTCGACAGGCCCATCTAGTCCTCATCTGTGAGAGCAGCAGGTGGGAACAGGGCAGATCACTGTTAGGATTGATAGAGTACAGTACTTCCAAAATGTAACGACATCTAGACATTTCCACAACATGAGGACAAAGGTGACTATTTTGCCCCCTGTACAGAATGTGCATAGAAGACTAGAAACCCTGCGGTAGTTATTGGTGGACGTCTGCGGGTACAAGGACCAGGATCTGAGCAAATGAAACAACAGGAACAGGACAAGCAGGTGCCAGGATCAGCGTCAGACAGAACAGAGCAATTGAGACCATAAATTGTTGAACATGTGTTTCAAATAACCTTTGGCAAGGATATGTAGAACGATATGAAATAGAAAGTGGGATCACTGCTCTGGGCTACAGGTAGGATGCTTAAAGATACAGAGACCTTACTGCATAGGAATCATTGGGCCAAACCAGCATGGGGCACTAAATCAAGCTTTTGTCCACTTGCTGATTAAAATCCAGTGCCTTATGATGCATAATGAGATACAGTAATGATACAGCACCCATATCGACACAACATCAAAGACTCCAGTGGGTTTCCTCCTAAAATTAAAGCATCTTAATAACATTATAAAATGCAGAGAATTAGTAATTATAACTTTGCTATTTTGGACAGTTACGGTGGGAAAGTCTGGGGACTGCTTCTCTTTTTTTTTGTCAAGTGGAGTAACCGACTGAAAACTGGTCAGTAAAGATGCAGGGAAAGAACTGGTTTGTGTTTTTCACATACTGTACCTCACAGCAAACATTGGAGGGTTTACAACTGCAGACGATAGTAATGGAAATGTAATGGGAAAGAGTATTTGAGAGAGATGACAAGACATGAAGACGATTTTACAGCATGTCTTCAGACAACTCATCATGAATCCATAGGGAACGTGGCAACAAGCAGTCAACAGGGGGCACTATGGAGAGCAGTATACAGATGCAGCAGAGGATCCAGGATCATTTGATCATCGAGGATGTTCATGACTGCGGTACCAGGAGACAGTGTCCATCAGGACAGACAGAAAGCAGGTAAGGCAGTGCAGACACAGCAGCAGAATGACACAGAGCAGTAAAAAAAATCAGGAATTGCTAGGACAGCAGGGGTTTACTACTTAGTTCGATTGCTGAGAGCCTCTGACTGCTGAGCAGTGGGGATTGCTTTCTCTCCCGAGCTTTCAAATGTCTAAGCTCAAAACTTTAATGACGTTCGATGAAATAACACAAGTTGTTTCTTTAAGCATCAGAGTCCTAGGAAGACATGTTAGAGTCTGGGCTAGATCAACAAATAAGTATCCTCAACAAAACGTCTCATACTCCTATTTTTTTTCTCTGCAGTGAGGGATAGTTTTATGGATTCTTAGCAATCTATAGAACCAATTCGAGCCTGGAAAAGTGCCTTTTAGCAATGTCGCTGTATATTACTGGTAATCTGAGGATGCTTCACAGGATGAATAAAGTGTCCTCTGTACTGTGCTTCTGTGTTGAACAGAGTACTACATAGCAGCCGTAAAAAGAACTAGGATAGTATTCCAAAGCAAAATAATGACACCTACAAAAGACTACTTTCTACCTTTTCATAAACTTTTCAACTTGCTGGCATATTTTGATTGTTTTGTGAATGGCTCTTTCTTTTGAGTCACAGTAGCTGAATAGCGTGTCACACTTTGTGTCTTCTTTCAAAAAGTGGTGCTTACTCTTTAAAGCAAAGACCACAATGATCAATTGCATATTAAAAGAATATACCCAAGCAATACGTTTTTGCCTCTTTCAGGTGTATTTGTCTGAAATGCAATCTCTATTTGCAAATGTAATGCAGGTACAGTATGTTGGTAAAGTTTCTTTCACTTTTTTATTTTTCTGTTCAGCTTCTCTTCTATAGTTACAGTTTTTACAATGCAATAGTTTTCTTCAGAGACAAGGAATCCTTTTTGCCACTGAGAACCTGCTCTCTTTTCTTTTAAACTTCAGCAAAGGCTTGCTTCTATTATACACAGTTTCTCATCATTGTTTCCCTCATATTGACAGTAATGTCACATTCATGCATTTTAATGTTGTTTATGATCATGCAAAGCAGATAATAGTCTTTTAGAAATTTTGAGTAGATGGGTGAAACCACTGGATCCAGAAAATATGTACTTATTCAAGTGGAGTAGACCACCTGGAAGGAAGAACTTATTCAAGTGCTACTGTATGCTTGGCTACTAAAGAGTAGCACTTAAGCTGAAAAGGATAAAAGCCACATTGCACCCACATTTTGAAAACAATAAATCCATGATCTTTTGATATTCTTGTCGTATACCATATGTTTCTGGTAAGAAAAAAAAGCAAAGAAAGATTTTTGGATTCTTAATTCATTTAATACTCTAAGATTAAACATATTTACAAAAAGGTTCACAAACGATATATCCAAGATGAAGCATATTGAAATAATACAAAACGTACAAAAGTATAAAAATATATTCAACTAATTTATATTTCACATCTGATAAAGTACTGTATCATTGCTTCGTACGGTATATTGGGAAATGACTGTAGTCTATTGTATTCACAGTTTATTACAGAAATCCTTCACCATGGTTATCATGAGTCATTCCTTTCAGTACAAGTATTGATTATTATTCTTTACAATAATCTGCTTTAACAACTTTGTGACCACATGTGTATTTATTTTCTATAGCAGTCTGTGGCAAAGTAGAGAAAAGCTTATTTATTCTCGAATGGTTTCCTTGGTCCTCATTTTCACAATGTAGACAAATGTGAGCTTGACCTGAAGTCCCACAGTTCTTGCTGCCACTTGAATACAATGAGCTTTACTGCAGGTACCAAGGCCATACAACCGAAACATGCAAAATCAGCAATGGCTTCATGGCCTCTTCCTGTGAAAAAAAAAAGAGGAAATTTGTTAGCAGACTGAGCCATGAATGTTAAGAAGGCAGACGTGCTGCATCATGCTTTGACATAGGCCAGAAAATAAGGGGAAGTTGTGATGGGAAGTTAGGGAAGGAAAGACATATTAAAATATCGTTCAACGCAGAAATCAAAAACAGGATGGCAAAACGTCTCACATCAGCACATGAAGACTTTATATGGAAGCACTAGTTTTAAGTAAGTTAAAAAAAAGGTGAGACTTCGTGCGATTTATAATGGGAATTAACTGACTTTAGTCTGCACACTAAAAACAATATTTTTTTCTTTTTTTGTTTTATTAATGCAACTGGTCAACATACTTTTGAAAATGGCATCAAATAAAGGGCAGCATAAAAACAAACTCTACCAAAGAGGTTGATATTGATGCAAAGATGCCTCACCCTCTTTTCTTCTCATTCTTGAGTTTTTTGGCCTGTGCCTTTTTGTTTAGTTTCCTTATCAACGCTTTCACCCATTTGGCGTTGGGGGGCGCGCAAAGTCTATAGCCGTTCTTAGTGATGAACCTGTGTGCGAAGATTGGAAAGTTAGACTCAGAGTACGCTCAAAAAATAGGGTATCAGCAGATTCTAGAGTCGAAAACAAGATAGCAAGAAAACTAAGATTGCAGTGGTCAAAATCAATTTGATAAGTACTGCAGGGCAGGTGAGCTTTATTACTCATTATTTACAGCTGTAGGATGAGAGGTACATGGAATTTGTACACATTGTACAGTGTATTTAACTTTTTATATGAAAAAAAAGACGTTCTTTCAACTAGCTTTGTTTCCTTTAAAGATTATCCTATTCATTGTTTGGCAGTAGTACAGCTGCAACAAAGACTTTTCTCTTAAAGTGTAAAGTACTGTGTAGCGGTACTGTAGCTACAGGCTTGAGAACATTAAGATAAAATCACTATTTCATTCATTAAGGTACTACACTCAGAACAGAGGCATTTGTACCTCTGCTTGGTACTACTGCTTTTATTTCTGTCATATAAAACTTTAAAACTATAGTTTCTCTTCATCTTACCTGTATAATATTAACAAAACTAATAGGACCCTATTTTGCTAAAGTGTTATTTTATTCAGCAATCTTTTATTTCTGTGATTAAACACTGTGCAAAAGTAGTGTCCAGCATGCCGCTACCTATGAGCCAGTGTGTTTGACTTTAACCCATAAAGAAGTCATTAATAAGAAAAGAAGGAAGTAGCCAAGTAAGGTAAATATACTGTACAGTATTCCCTAAGTTTTGCGCATTTTTTGAAAACATTCCTAGGGATGAGTAAGGTCAACAGCCAAGGCTGTTGAATAAATAATGTTGAATAAATTACATAATAACTGGAATAAAATTGTTCTTTACAGGTCTAAAATAGTAATAAGTGATTAAATACTGATTAAAATGTAACTGTGTGAGGTTTAATTGTCAATTTTTAGTGGGTACACTAAATCACACTCAAAAGTAGCTATTTTCCAGATCAAAGTTCTTAGCTGCTAGTGTCTATCTTCTATTAATATAATGGAAATTAATTCAACTTATATTCAATTAGTGAAGAAAGAAACTTACAAAACTGCTGAGATTATGCAGTCCCCATCAGCTTCTTGCCTGCTATAGGAAACGACAGCTTTTCTCGGGATTACCTTCTCACTAGTTGCTAAACAGCAGTCAACTGCACCTTCAGTGTTTGCTGTAAGGAATCAAATACAAATGATTAATCAGCTGGAACTGTGGATCCACCAGCAATTTATTTTAATATAATATGCAATAAATGTAATTAACAAAAATGTTCTTATTTACTCTTTTTATATGCCAGAAAGCATAACAACGACCGGTCTCTGAGCAGCAAAATGGTACGAGGCAGTATCAATTAAGGGTTCAGTGTGCTATTTTCTAGATGGCAGGCAATTATGATGTTAAGCAATATTATGTTGAATCATTGGAGCAGATTATTTAGGAAGAACTGGAAATAATGGTTCATGTCCTGTATCTTTACAGGAAAGCAGCTGCAAATTAGTTTAGGGTTTTTTCAGACATGTTTGAAACATTTTACAAGATGACAAGCTTGGGAAGTTTAAACATTTCACCTTTGACACATAATACTTTATGCAAGATAATGCAGGGGGCTGCTGCTTCAAACATTAATGCTACATCGCATAGATCCTTACAAAACATTATTTAGAAGCCAGATGTTTTGATTCATGGTGTTTAGATGGCAGAGGTCTGAGCAAGCAGTGGAAGCATAAAACCAACATACTGTAAAAAGACTGTAACACAGCATTTTACAATGGGCTCCAATCTGCTTCCAGTGCAGAATAGTAAAATGTGTCGTACTAAAGAATTGAATTGTGATTCTTGTTAGTTTTACAGTGTCTTATAATCTCTTGTTGAAATATAAAGACGGGAATTATTCATCATTTACTCACTGGTTATTCCAAATAATCTCAGCAGTGTTAACGAAATGGTAGCCAGGTAGTAAAAGAATGAAGCATTAAGCATTGGCCTGCAATGCTGTAGCTTATGCATTTCTTTTAAAATCAGGTTTTTATGTGGTAAGCCAAAATCTCCTTAACAACAACAGACGTTGTGATGTGATATGCACTTAGTGATAAAAACTTCTTTCTGTAAGGTTATCAGACAGTCCAGTCTTTTTTGATACTAAAATATCTAAAAAGCTTTTTTTTTTACATTCTCATGGGCAGTTACCTTTGAAAACAAGCGGGCTGCCACGCTGCAAGTAAGCAATGGGTTCTTACCTTCTGAAGAGCTCCAGAGGATGGACGCCAGCAGAAGGAGGGTTATAACTTTCAGAGACATTGTGCTCATGCTTCTGCTTGTCTGGCTGAGTGTGGCGAAGTCGTGCAGGTGTACTGTGTGGATTGCCTGTATAAATACCTGACACAGAGTTTCGTTTTTACTCAACATACCTGCCTCCTTGGCTTCCAGCCAATACTCCATGCCTATTCCTGGTAATCCAGTCAACCTGAAAGGCCCTTTTAGTGTCTTTTTACTTAAAGAATTGCCCTACAGCATGTCTGCTATTGAATAATGTAAAAGTCCAAGGAACGGAAGTAAAAAGTTGCACAGCTGAAGGAATATTTATGTCAAAGCTCAACCATGCTGTTACAAACCTTACTTCACTCTATATCCTACTATAGAAAAAAGCATGTAGTATTTATGCAGCTGATTCAATTATTCTTATTTATTTTAAACCGGTAATATAAAAGAATTAAGATTTTAGTTGAGTAGATGTTCTGTGCAGTCTCAATATTATATAACATGGCTAACTTGTCAGTGGATGTCCGGAGTGGAAATTATTTTTCAATAGTTTTATTTTAATTGCAGCAACAAATAGATGGGATTAGTGTTATATAATAAGGAAAGGTCAATGGTGACACTAAAAGGAATATATACAGCATGTCTGCCTCCCAGAAATTTCCTTAAACTCCCCTCAACTGGAATGTGAAAGAGGCACAGAGGGGACCTATGTCCCTTCAAAAAGCAAAAAAAGTCCCCGTACTGCTGGAAATGAAATTAACTCTTTCTGAATCTCACTTTCTCTGTGGATCATTTTGAGATAACTGGAAACTTGCTAAGTTAATCAAATGTCTGTATTTTGTGTGCAGAATCCCAGCTTCCCTCATGCCTTGGGCTACACACTTGCACTCTTGGCTGATCCTCCTGTGGTGAACAATGACGTCTGTCTTCCTCCAGATGGGGAACGTCACTGGGAATGCAACACAGAGGAAAATGGGGAGAAGCGAACTGTATTTTCATTAAGTTCATTCCATGCTATTTTCTAATTTGGCGATATATTCATACCCTGTTTCTCAGTGCTTTTATCATTCTCTCAAACTTTGGTTAAAGCAACTACAGTTAAAAAAAATAATTAACCTGCACAGGTAGCAGAACATTAGCCAAGGACATGCAGGGCACAAAGTCTCATTTCGAAGAACTGTTATCCCTTGGCTTCAGTTGGCAGCATTATTTTAAAAATCTAACTGAAAGTTATACTGTAGTACTACCTACTGTATATCACATATTAATTGCATTTGGTTTCCTTTGGTAAGCATTTTGGTTATCCTTAGGGGAATGGATTTGTACTGAATACTTGTTGGCCAGGTAAAGTTCAGCAATAAAAAATACCAGCCTCATTAATAATCAATAATCCAGATTTGATTATTAAGAGTTCCTCTGTCATTTTTCTGCTTGAAAAAATTATAGAACTGTTGCCATCAAGATTGCAATAAACATCTACTGGAGCCAAAATGGGAAGTGATGTTAATGGTGTTCCTGCCAAACAGAACTTTTTGAACTGCCACATTAAAAGATGTACTGTATATTGTTTGTTATGGAATGGAATGTCGTATGAGTTGTAGCTTGAAATATGAACATTTGTATTTGAAGTATCTTATTTTTTTGAAGGATCTCACACTTTTGAACACCCACTTTTCACTGAATCATTTGAGATGGGTGTTATCGTATTAGTTGTAACGAGCTCAGATATGTTAAAAGCTACTGATAAATACATTATTACTAAGATATTGTATAGATATGGTATTTTTACTGCATTTTTACAGATTTCACTGGGATGAAGCAGCACAAATCTCTTTGCGTAAAGGTCAAACTGAGCCAATACCATAAGGCAGTGCATAAACAACAGCGGATTGCTACTTCTACCTAGATACCACCTAGATACTGTATGTCCATGATCATTTTCAGCTATCATAGGTGTCACGAATCTCCCTCACGCAGGCAAGCGCTCCCGCATTCTCACGAGCTCTCCCAATACCAAACGTGCACATGTCAATCAGTCAATCCTCTACTTAAACCCTCATCTGTCCCCCCATCTGTCGACGACTTCTCTCCTGGACCTCGACCCCGCTTTTCCGACTACCGCTTTCGCCGCTTGATTTAGTACCTACGCCTGTTTTACGCTCTCTCGGTTCCTGACCCCAGCCAGTCTCTTCGTTTACGCCTCCGCCTGCCGATTCCACACCGACGCCTCTTCCACGCCTTACCGGACCCCGACCCCAGCCTGTTTACTTCGACTACGCCTTCGCCTGTCGATTCAGTGCCTACGCCTTTACAATGCCTTCCCAGACGGACTCCAGCCTGTTTACTCCGACTATGCCTACGCCTAGCGCCAACCCTACCAAGGGCACCGCATTGGATCTCCATCCTCCGCGGTCAGTCCCTGCGAGACAATAGGTTGATATGGCAATTCACTTCGATGACCAGAAGTAATCATCATCCCGATTTCTTATGGTAACTGCAGTAGGACGTAAAAACAACAACATCTGGACTGTGTTTCTCAAGCCTTCAGTGTACAGATGATACTGTACATTCCAAGAGACACGTTGAAAGGTGAAATCATAGTGACAGTGCAGGTAGAACAGTGCTGGTAATAAAGAGCCCATTGCAGTGAGATCTTCCTTGTGTATTTCCCAGCACTGTCCACACTTCTCATGACAGGGGTCCAATGTTTTAATGTAAAGCACAGTGAAAGATAAAGTCAAACTTTAAAGCTTTTTTCAACCCTATCTCGGCCTGAACAGAATGCTCATTATGTACCCCCATTTGAACATTTTTGATTTTTTTTTACAGTGATGTTTTCTTATTGGATATGGACTTGGTAGATTGGATATGCTACCCAAACATACTGGTGGAGGTACTTCCTAGGTTTCCTTAAAAAACTGCTGGAAAAGATGGTTGTTACTAAGTACCACATAGGCTGGGTGGGATAATTATTCTCTGTTCAATTGTAACCATTCCTATGTTCAAAATCTAGGGCCTGTGTACAGTATGTCCTACAAGTATATCAGATGTTTTTAGGAATTGAAAAACAGAATTATTTTTCAAAGAAAACATATTAGATTAAGGAAAAAAGAAACCACTTTTGCAGTGAATACACTACGTGCTTGATGAAAATGAGAGTATTGTAGCGCCCTCGCTGGGTGTCCTCGCAGATGCACACACAGCTAATATATGCGCCGCAGTGCTGGCTGGGAGCCGGGGGACGGACTGAGGGTCCGCAGGCTGACCGCTAGCTGATCCTGATGATCTAAATAGTGGTTAATAAAGAATCTGTACATACTGTAGCTGGTTGTTGTTTACCCCTGTTTCTTCCCAAGACCCGTATCCACCCTGAGTTTATGTACGGTACATGTTCTCCTTGCTGCCCTTTTGTGCTTAACCCCCTGTTGAGACAGTTTTTATGGTCTCTGTTGGCTGATTGCTGCTAGATAGAGGTTCGTAATAAAGAGTGTGTGTGCTACTCAAGAGCTTGTCATGTTTATTTCCTGCACGAAACCATTAGCCGCTACAATATGTTTTCATCACTAGACACCAGTTCATTTAATTCCCTGGCAGACTGCATATGTACTTCTTAAATGCTGTCAAAAGGAAGAGATGTTAAATTATAATCCCATGCCAGGGAATGGGGTCATGCTCAAAAGCATCAATAAATCAATTTTTTTTTATTTTGTAATTATAGTAAAATAATTATTGTATAATAGTTTCCTGTAATGCTTAGTATTAGAGTACCAAAACTACATTGAAGAAATAGTAATGAAAGTAGCAAATCTGAAATTAGTTTCTTAATTAGACAATCTCTGTCTTGGTCTCAGATCTTCCATATGGTGGTCCTCAACAACAATCATCTTGCTGATCATCTATAACTGTGAGAGAAGGAGCTTATCAGCAAATGCACAATTTGAATTTCCTCTAATAATTAAAACATTACTGCAATACATGCACCTGGTCTGCTTGGTCTGCTGGTCTGCTTAATCCAGCTAGTACATTGACTCTTTATTCCCTTATTTTCTAACAACATACAGTACAGTGTTTCATTTCTCTTGGTGGTGAGTAAAAAAACAATGCAAACTCAAGATAAGACTTCTCGTTGATGCACAAGGCTGATTCACTAGGAATAACAACACCCAAGACTAAAGTGTCATGAAAGGATTATGGAATAAAACAGGGTGCAGTCCAAAATCCAATACCGGGAGATCCAAAGCCAAAGACAAACACAGGGATCAAGCGCTCCAAGCCCCGGACTCAGACGGTCAGGACGCCGTTCTGAAGACTATGCCGTCAGGTCTGTTCTGGACCCGTGGGTAGGCGGGCTTCCGGGCGTCCACTTCGAAATGCTGACCTCAGAGCTTAAGGGGGAAAAGGTACGTAATAAAACTAAAATACAAAAGGGTTGGATGCAAGATCACCAGATCACCAAGATAAAACCAGAAGAGACCTGTCCTGGTAAACCCCTCTGTTTGTAAACTGTCACTCAAGTCACTCTTAGTCCATAAAGTGTATGATATTTATTCACATTTTAGGGCAGCACAGCTGAAGTTCAGTGTAGCCAAACTATATTTAATAGAATGTCAACCAAAAACCATGATATACCATAATATGATGGATGATTTAATCTTTAATGTTTCACATTTGATGTTTTGGTTAACTTAAGACATAACTTATTTTTCCCTACATTTTGGCATCAGATGCCAGTTTTAGTTCTCTACATTTAATGGTTTGTTTATTTTGTTAGCACAAAGGGCTCCAAAGTTGTTATATTTTAACAGAAGAACTGCATGTAACAGCTTAACATGACCTTTGCCCCCAACACACAAAGTCATGACAATCCATAAAACCAAACCCAAAGTAAGACTAGAATTAAATCTACATGTAACAATGTCTAACGCAGAGATCTAATGTATAATTACAGTCAAAGCAAAAGTCTTCAATGAAGGGATTCAGGTTTGCTTTTGACACTACACATCCAACTAACACATGATGTAAACAAAGCATTGTTGTAAGACTGCAGTTTTGTAAGGACAAATATAAAATATTTCTAATATCTTAATAACATCTAGTACATACTGTATATATATTTAGTGTTTTAAATAGATAAATATACGAATACATTATTTGAGCTTTATTAACCTTGTAATGTTCGGATGCAA